TGGACGTTAACACAAATTTTTTCACAAACTTACGACATCCCGCTGACAAACTGTTGACAAAATAATTACAATTACTAATTTCCGTTTTGTCAACCATTTGTCGTCAGTTTGTCATAAATTTTGTCAATCGTATGTCATTTATGTATCGTTCGCCCATCGACAAAATTTTGACTAAATAACACCATAAGTTTCTACGCGGGTACGGACCGCGCAGCGTACGCGAATTTCTCCTATCAGCAGCAAGGAGCTGCGTGTCTGACGACTGAAAATTGTTGATTCAAAGTTTGCATAGGTAAGAAGTTAGACAGAACCGCACTTTCTAGAGATCAGCAGCGTTCAAATTTGTGAACGCTGTATTGCAATGTCTCCCGAAATTCCCAATGGAAATCTTTAGCTACTACTGTTTCGAGTCTTTTCATTATCATCTCCAATACAACAGGCGAGGCGGGCATGTCCTTATATTACACCCATCCAATCCTGATCCGCCAATAACCATTACCGCTCAGTCCAGCGGCCAACGAGGCGGGCGGGGCGGGGCGGGGCGGGGTGAGGCGCCGCTCGACAGGACAGGTGTAGCTCTGATTAATAAAAAGAAGGCCCTGCCGCCGCCGCCGCCGTGGGAAAGCCGACAGCCGCCGCGTGCTAATCGAGTGCTAATTCAAGGTGCGTTCGCAAATTCCGCGTTGTTGTTTGTGTCGCGTCCGAGACGCGGGGAGCAGCATAGGAGGGATAATAAAAAGGAAATACAATAAAAAGGATTATGACGGGCAAACGAGACGGCCGGCGGCGGCGGCGTATGGCAGGGAGCAGACGGGATTCTATGAATCATGTCCTCCCCGATCGGATGATTCAAAGTAAACTAATTAATTGGGCGTAAATGATCGAGGCGATGGCGTGAGGGGCGGAAGGTTGGGGGGAGGGGGGGTCGTCCGGACGCGGAAAATCCTGTCGGAAACGTCCGTGTGCAGCCTATGGACCGCGGGGGCGGGGGAGTGACGCGCACGTCACACACCTCTCCCGGTAATGCAACCCAATCATACGTACTCCTCCCATGTCACGCAAAACTTCCCCGGACCAAATGTTTCCATCAAAAAGAAACGTGACGGATCAGCTTCGATTTTCTGTCGTGGTCTTCCGGAATCTTTCGCGGTTTGAAGAGGTTTTTTCTTCGGACCGCGGCGGTGACGATGGGGGTGAGTGGGGCCGAAAGTCGAGGTTTTTCGGCGGTTATCTGCTGAGCATTGTGATCGGCGCTGTGACGGGAAGGGGGTTG